CCTGTTTGCTACATGTCTTTTTTTGTTATTGTTGTTGTTTTTTCAGTTTGGTTTTTCTTCTCTTTTTTACCTGGGTGGGGGTCAGTCTGTCCAGGGGGCTATGCTGATCTGGCCCAGGGTTGTTTGTGGGAATACCACATGCCTCTTACCTCACCTGGTGGTCTGCATCTCTTGAGCTGGTAGGAGCTGGCACCTGGTGGCGCGGGAGCCCTCCTGGTTTCTCCATTTAACATGGAGTGGGGATGCTATGTGAGGGCTAGGGGTGTGGAGGAGTTGGAGTTTTGCCTCTTCTCGGTGGTTTTTCCTGTAAAGTGTATCTTCAGCATCTCTCTAAGATTTTACTTTAGGAGGCGCTTTCTGCTTCCTCCCTCTAGTCGCCATCTTGGAATCTCCTTTCACTTGCTTTTGTTTTTTGTTTTTTGTCTTGTGGCATCAGATGAAAGTAGACTGCAAATCAGTGCAAATTCCTTTTGTCTCACAGTGTGTCCGGTGGCTTCCTAACTACTCATAGTCCAGCAGCTGAGCTGAGTGAGGACACAGAGAACAAAACTCCACTTCTGCTATTTTAGATGGGTTCCTGGCCAATTCTTTTCTTTATAAAGTAGCTTGCCTTCAGTATTTAATTTTAGTAATGAAAAATGGACTAACACAATGTGCTGTGGGGAAAATGCAAGATATTACCTGGACCACACTTCGCATCCGCTGATATAGTTATAATAAAAAAAGAAGAAAGCTGAGCATCTACTGGCTCACACCTGTAATCTTAGCTACTTGGGAGGCTGAGATTGGAAGGGTCATGGTTCAAGGTCAACCCTAGACTGGGAGTTTATGAGACCTCCATCTCACCTGATAGCTGGGCAAAGTGGTGAATGCCTCTCATCCCAAGCTATGTGGGAGACTGATATCAGGAAGATCATGGTTCCAGGCAAAATAATTTTTCCAGACCCCATCTCAATGGAAAAAAAGATAGGCATAGTGCTACAGTTCTGTCATTCCAGGGATCGTGGGAAGCTTAAAAGGGAAGCCAGCGTAGGCAAAAAGTGAGACCCAATCTCCACAATAACCAGAGTGAAAAGGGGATGATTCTAGTTACATGAGTGTTATCCAGAGGCCAAACTCACTGACAGAAAGTAGAATCGTGGCTCCTGGGGGCTGGCAGAGGGGGTCAGAGGCAGTCAGTGTTTCAGGCATAGATGTTTTGCCAGGGATGGTGAAAAGGGCTTACTATAGGTAGGGTGACAGTCATACAGCACAATGAGCATACTGAGTGTCATCGTATTTTACACTTACCAGTGGTGTGCATGGGACAAATATTAGTCTATGCATATTTTCCATTTAGATTAAAAAAGGTGTCAGATCAAACACCTGCTTCTGAGAACACCTAGAACTACTCCACACTGAACATGTAGACCATCACCTGGGATCTGCCTGCTGTCTACCAGGCTCCAGGCAGTGCCACTGCTCCTGGCAGTGTGGGGGCCACTGGCTGGGTCCCCTGGGGTGGAGGATTGAAACCAGACTCCCTGTGGAATCTTGGGGGTTCCCATTAGGAAGGGCCTCTGTGCTCCTCATGAAGATGTGCCCCGGACGCTCCATTACCACAGGGGCATGGTACTGCATGTGTCACATTCTTGGAACAAAGGTATTTACTGAGCACCTGCCACATGCATGGCACACTTGCTTTATCTGGAAACCACAGGGCAGAAGATTGAAGGTTATTTGAGGATCTAGGCTGCAGGCATGTCCAGCACTCTGCCTGGTGAGAACACACTGCATTGAACAGTCTCAAAGGACCATTGCTGACTTACTTTTCTTTAATGACTCACTTAAGGATTAAAAAGTTTCTTTGAAAAGGAAACCTCACAGCCTACTACAAATGGAAAACAGGGATTTCTCGGTGGAGGTAAAGAATAACTGTTCACTATAACAAACACAGAACGGCACTGTTCCATTGTGGCCAGTGCTGCTGCTGGTTTCACTTAGCCTGAAGGTGGGGAAGGGCTTGAGAGGGGCATCATGACAGCAAGAATAGAGCCTTGCTCCCATGCAGTGTTCCTTTATGTCTTGCCCATGTGTCACCTAGCAACATGCAGCCCACACCCCAGGGATCTCAGGTCTGGTTAAAGATGAGACCAAGACCTTGACCCAGGAAGGTACTCAGATGAGGTCAACTGGAAAAGCATCTGTGGTAGAGCCAAGGACTCAGTGGAAAACCTGGATGTCTTTCTGTAAACCAGCACCCTAAATCTTCCACACACCACTGACTGAGCTCTGGAGGGTCACCATTGGAACATCAGTGTTTTCCCTGTGACAGAATGTTTTTTCTTTCTCAGCCCTTTGTAAATGATGAGAGAAGAACTCCAAGGCCACTGATAAGGCACATGACAGGATGCTAAGAAGTTTGGAGACCCATCTGTCTATTATTTTCCTGACTAGTTGTCAAGTATATTTCTTTGTATACCAATCAGCACTCCATAGATGCTTGCTGACTGGGAGTCCTAAGTCCTTGAGGAAGCAGAGTGGCCTAAGCCAGCTTCCTGAAGGCAGGGCCAAAGCAGAGATGCTGGTATCCCAAGGAACACCAGTGCTGTCTGGACTGAATGAGGGCCAAGGAGGGCAGGCAGCAAGGTGACAGCAGGCACCCAACCAAGTGGAAAGAGGAGGGTGATGTTTTCAGGGTACAATCACTGGGCCAACTCCCTCTACATGAGCAGGCATCTATCTCCTTGAGGTGTTGGCCCTAGGTCTCCCTCATCTCTCCCTAAACAAGAACCTGACCCAGCAAGAGCTTGAGAGCTGCACTGCACTAGATTGTTCCCCCTTGGGACACTGGCTGTATCAGTCAAATGTCAACAGGGTCAAGGTTGAGACCCAGCCCTAACACTTTTCAGGCTTAGTTTAGTTCACAGCCTCTGTCAGCAGACATCAGAGTCTCTGAGCAGGCAAGGCTCTGCTTGTCCCACTGTCTGCTGCCTCCCTGGAATCCAGCCAGGGTTGTACTCAGTGCTCAGCAAAGGCCACCAAGGCTCCAAGCCCCAGCTCAGTGTGTCCCTCCCTGCTGCAGCTGTCCTTGGGCCACATCACAGAGAATGTATGCCCCTTTTGCACAGGGGTAACCTCAAGCAAAGGCCGCTGGGAAATTCTGCCCCTCTTGAAGATTTCCCTGGGTGTCTCAGCTACACTCAGCTCCATGAGAGGCATTAACAGTCCCAGCCACAGACGGACTTCAGCCACAATGCTCTCTCTTCAACTCCCCCACACGTCCTGTGTCCCCATGCTTTTAGGCCAATGCCCACTGCAGACCCTTCCCCAGGGCTTCATCTGGAGCAGACCCAGATCTCCTCTGAATCCTCTATGAGGTGCTTAAAGAGGGCAAGCTCTCTGTCCACTGGGTTTTGTCCTTCCAATGCTCACTTCCTACACAGCACCCATCACCCTGCATTTTCCCTTCCCTCCTGAACCTCTGTGGCCCAAGAAGAGGAAGAATGTGTCTTTTCTATTGCTATATATTGGTGCCTGCATACAGTAGGTGCTCAATGAATATGGAATGGATGAATATTTCCTGTTCCCCTTCAATCTATTTTGTATTCATCAACCCCAATGACCCCTCAGATGACCAGGTCAGATCATGGAACTCAGCTGAGTAGAATCCTGCAATGGCTTCCTGCTGCCCTTGGAAAAAACCCCAGACTCTCCACCAAGGGGCATGCCTTCTCTTGGATATTCTTTCCTAGCACTCCACTCTCAGGCACTGCAGTCACACCAAGCTTCTCCACTCTTCCAGGACACCCAGCCTGGGTCACCCCAGAACTCTTACACACACAATTCCAGGAACCTATGGTCCATTCTCAGAACTTTTCCATGTCCAGTGCCTTCTCTGCATTTGCATCTCAGTTCAAGTCCTGTCTTCACAGAGTCCTCCCTGACGACCTAATTTACAGACCAGCCCATGCATGTGTCTCACTGTCTTAAACCTCATCTGACCTGGAAGGCTCTTACATATGAGCCTCCCTTGTTCACACTTGGCCCTCTGTGTTCACAGAGCATTCAGCTGACCACAGATAGAAAATATCTGAAAACAAAAACTGCATCCATACCAAACATATACAGTTTTTCCTGTCATTATTCCCAAAGCAATACAGTATAACATCATGCAGCACTTCCACTGTGCTGGGCATTATGAGTCATCTAGAGGTGATTTAAAGTACACTGGACAGTATGCACAGGTTATATGCAAATACTTTGCCATTTTATATAATGGACCCAGGCAAGATTTTGGTGTTTGAAGGGACCTGGAACCAATTTCCAGATACTGAGGGACAACTGTATTTACTTTGTTTCTGATCAACTGGCCAGAATAAAATTCCATGAGAATAATGTTTCTAGCCCTTTGATACCTGCAGTGGGTGAAATAATATCCCCAAGAAGTAGGCTGATACTCCAGTCCCTGGAACTTGAGAATGTGGCCCTCTTTGGACAAGGACTCTGAAGACTAAGTGGCAGGCATTCTAGATGAGGTCAGCCTGGACTCAGGGTGTGCCCTAGATCCAAGGCATGTGTCCTCGGAGAAGGAGACAGACCCAAGACAGCAGGAGAACAGGGAAGAAGGCACCTAAAGACAGAGACAGAGACTGGAGAGGTGTAGCCACAGTCATGGGATGCCAAGGACAGTCAGCAGCCACACAAGCTAACAGAGACATGGGGGCCATACTCTCTCTTGGAGCCTCCAGGAGAAAGCAAACCTACCAGTGCCTTCATTTCAAACTTCTGGCTCCAAATTATGAGACAATATACTTCTGTTTTCTTAAGCCAAAGAAGCTAATTCAAAATGCTTGCTCTGGCTTATATATAATAGAGGCTCAACAATGGCTGGTGCTGAACGAATGAATGAACAAATGGTAATCTGAATGCTGCCCAACACCTGGTGGGGTTCCAGGGCCACACAAGGCCTGCACTTGGCTCTGGGAGCCCCCTCACCAGCTGATCCCCACCAGCCTCACCATCCACCACTGGTAGGTGTCCTCTTGTAGTGCTGCATTGTGGACGGTGAGCAGGGGCTGCATGGTCCGGTTGAAGCGCTGGTCGAACCAGTCTGAGACCTTGCTCTGGCTGATGCAGTGTGCACAGGTGCATGGCTGGGACTTGATAAGCTTCCTGAGGTTCGCTGAGAGATGCAGAACCATCTGCTTGGGGAACCAGGTGGTTGGCACCCCGGTGGAGGAGTAGTTGAGGAAGAAGGAGGTGATGAAGATGAGTAGCACAAGGAAGGTGAGCAACTTAAAGATTCTCTTTCTCATGACCACCATCTTCACTTTCTGTGAAATCCCACCTAGCTGAGAAAATCTGAAGAAAATTCCAGAGATGCAGGTGTGGCCAGAGGAGACAGGGGTCCCCAAGGAGGCCTCAAAGGCTGCTCAGGCTGACTTCAGTCCCACAGAGAAGCAGCCAGCCCTGTATTCTGGACATCCCAGTGTGGCACTCAAAGGCCATCCACAGTGTGCTGGCCCTGTATCATTTAGGAAATAAAGTAGCCCACCTCTTCTGCCAGCCTGAGAGCTGAGAGTGTCTCTTGGTGAAGCTTTATCACCACGATGACAGAGATTTTCTTTTTCACCCAAAGGGGTTCAGGAGTCGTTAATCTTGTGGCAGGCCAGGGACCCTCAAATGAGAAGCAGGAAGACAGGGTCTTAGCATGGACACTGACTTGGCCACCTTTCTCCAGAAAGTGTGCTTTGTGAAGACCCTTAATCAGAATCTCGTCTCTCCCAGGGAGGTGAGGGTTAAGCAGGCATCTCAACAAAGGGACAGAGGTTGTCAGTCATCTGCAAAGAAAAGGAGGAAGACAGGTGAAATTCTGTGACCTTGCTATGAAAAACACTTCTCTCCCTACACCTCAACCAAAGACATTCCAAGGCACCCTTGCTGGGAGCCAACAGGCCATTTGTCAACCCTCCTGAGCCTCAGTGGGATGCTACTGTCTGTCTGCAAGGTTGCTATGGGACATGGGTGTCCCATCCACCTCTCCTCCGGCCAGAATCTAGTGCAATTAACACACTCCGCACCAACATTTGAAATGAGCCAATGAGAGGCAGCGTGGATGCATAAGGAGATCATGAAGCAATACCACCTGCCTTCCTCTCTAGATTCTCGCCTTCCTACAGGATTTCATAACACCAACAAGAACAAAAACATCTCACAGAGGGAGTGGTCCGGGCTTCTACCTACTCTGATATTTGAGGTCTGCCACTTAGCCAAGGCTCCACAAAAGGGCTTTACATGTCCTTTGGTCAAGTTCTGGTTGAGCAACTGTGTGGCCTTGGGGAAGACATTCCACCTTAACAGGCCCTCAGTTTCTTCTGTGAAATGAGATAATAAAAGCCATACTTACAGAATGGCTACGAAGCAAAGGCATAATGAACTCCAGTCTGTCAAACTGCTAAACTTGAATGTCCCTTTCTCAATATATGAATGAGTGAATATTCTTTGACAATACACTAAGAGCTGAGAGCATCTATTCATGCAGAGGTATCTCCTCAGATCATCCTCCATTGAATGTGTACTGCCAGTTTTGTACCTGGTGCCCTGTTTATCTTGGTAGAAACATATTCAGAGAGATTAAATGACTTGAAGAGGTGACAGAGAGAAGAGGAAGTGGGACTTGGATCTAAACTCACAGTGCCCTCACATCTGGAGGGGATGGGGGACAAGCAACAGGGGCTGGGGGCTCTACTCAGGACGCAATACTGTTTGGTATGTGTCCTCCTATGTAGCCCAAACTGGCCTCAAACTCACGATCATCCTGCCTCAGCCCCTGGAGTGCTGAGATTGCAGGTGTGCACCACTAGCCTGACTTGTGACACCTGTCTTGATCATCAGACAGACTATCAGAGCTGGAGTGATACAGAGGAAGAGAAAGGAGTATTTTCTGTCAAAGAAAGCAGACTGCCCATGGCAAATCCTCAGTGCTCACTGTCTTGCTGGGGCTCCCTTGTGGCATGGCTGTGCTCACTCCCAGTGCTGGAGCATGCTGTCTTTGGTCTTCACTGGAAAAGCATTCCAGCCTCTACTTGTCTGCCCCTGTCCATTCTCAGAGTGCAGAGCAGCAATGAGCAGCACACTGTTTCCAGAACAGTGGCAGCTGATAGGGGGTAAAGGAGCTACCTTTCCATAGAAAGAAGGGGAACTGGAACCAGGTTAAATGCACAGTGCCTTTCTGGAGACAGCCAGGCCTTAAGGCTTAGTGTGACTCTACACTGAGCTCTGCCTTCAGCAGGGCAGTCCACGCTCCTAGTTCATGGGCAAAGTCATGGTGCCCAGAACTTGCTCACTGCTCCCATTTTTACTTCTCCTGACATCTTGACTCCTCGACTCATGTTCATAAACAAGTTATGTCCACAGTTGTTCCATGCCCACCCCCCATCACGGGGCAAAGGTGATTTGAATTAGATTAACCTCCCTTGTCTCCATGCAGGCTTTGTGCAGCTTGCAGACAGTTCCCACACCTCTTACTGCAGTCCCTGGTCCAGGGTGGATATGTGTCCTAATTCATCCAAAGTGAAGTCCTGAGCTTTTGTAAGGAGGGAAGAAACTTGCTTTTGCTCTGGTTGGCTTATTGTGGAGGTCACTGTCATACTGGCCATTAGGCTAGTCCACACACAATAGGTTAGAGCTGAACAAGAGCCAGACAAATGGTATAAAATCCCCGATCTAGCCACACCTATAGCCTGCTCTGCACCCTGACTTTTCAGTTACGCTAGAGAATAAGCAGTCTTTATGGTGTAAAGCAGATTATTTGTAGCTTGAAGCAACATGACTGATCCCAGGTCACAGTTGCTTCTGCCTCTGGGTCCTGTCCAGGCTGTCCCCACAGTCCAGAAAACACAGTCTGTCCTGCATGGCTGGCACTGGCTCTGGATGGAAGCCAACACTCCTGGGGTGAGATGTAGGATCTCTCTGGCTCCCAGGGACCCAAAATTCACTGTGACTGCCTTGTTAACTCCTCTCTCCTTCCTGCACGGGAGCTCCATGCTCATGGATGCTCATGGCTGTGGCCCTGTCATCTTGAACACACACTTTGTGCTTGAAGAAGCTCCCTGTGGTCAGAAGGAACACAGAAATGAAGAAACACAAAAGGGTTGGCAACCCAGAGGGAGAGCTGAACAAAAAGGCATGGACTAAGAGACAAAAGATTTTCATTTCTATCAGGCTGTGTGACCAAGCACAAGTGACCTAACCTCTCTGAACCACTTCTTCAAGTGAAAAATGATGCTGATGAAAGATTCTGCTCACATCTCAGGCCATCAGTCCATCAAAGTCCTTTATCCAGTTCTCTGCAAATTTGCTGGTCCCTATGATGTTGCAGGCCCCAGGCTAGGTGACTGTGATGCATTATGAAAGGCTCGAAGTGAAAGCTTTAGAGGCATCTACAGATCCCAATGCCACTGGGAGAAAGGCTGGTAAGGCTGGATCAGGGAGGAGCTGTGAGGGCACCAGAGCAGCCAGGCCTTAAAGGTAAGGTAGGAGTGTGTTGGACTGATTTTTCTACCTGATGAGGGTCTCACTGGAGAATCTGAGCAAAAAGATGGTATGGTCTCACTTCATCTTTCTTCATAATGGCCAGGGTCTTTCTGACCCCATATCATGGCATAGTTGAGTTCCTTAACCTATGGGATGAGTTGAGCGACTAAAAGTGTGGTAGGAGGTGAGATCCCAGGACACCGATGTGGTGTGAAAGACAAATCCTCAGGTCTGACGCAGGGGTGCGGTGGGAGTTGGGATGGAGGGCCCAGAGGGGCAGAAGCTCCCATGGTGGCACCCCATCTCTGGAGCATCCCGCAGCTGTATCCCCACAGGCCAAGGTCATGGTGCTCACCTGGATCCTGTGAGCAGCAGAGGCTCCGGGGCTGGTACCAATGATCACTTTTCAAAGCCCTGGGTGAAACCACAGTGGAAAAGCCAGCATGGTCACCCCTCCCCTGGCCCCTGTGCTCAGCACTCTGAGAGGCAGGGGGAGCGCCAGCCCCAGTGAGCAGAAACAAGACTGAGGGGGCCAAGTGTGCAGTGGGAGAGGCCGTGCAAAGAGAGAGAAGAGGAAGCCATTCGGTTCTCTTCAACCTCACTGGCCACAGGCTGGGACACAAGGCATGTGCAGGTGACAGGCTGGCAGATCGGCAGTGCTGTGGTGAGGAAGTCTTGTGAGGACTCAGAAGTGAGCATCCCTTAAGGAGCCCCCGATGAAGATAAATCCCCCGGTCACAGAACGGGGGACAATCACAGTGGCTGACACTTGCTCAAAACTCTTGGACATCCAAGTAAGTGAACAGCTGGGGCTGTGAATTTTAATAAACACAGAGCAGGCAATAGGTACCAGGGCTGGGATGCCCTCCAGCTCAGCAAGGAGCTCCTGGGATTGTTGCTGCTGGGAAATGCCACTGATGCTTCTAAGAAAGAGTGTGGCAACCACACTCATGTAATGTTTAATCCACTGACGGAGGATCATCAGAGAAGGCAAGTGACCTCTCCCAGGTCACACAGCACTCAGACCCCAGCTCCTCCCTCCTCCTAGGGCTTTCATTGTAGCTACAGCTTTATCTTCACTCATCTGTTCTTAGTTTCCTTGGCTTTGATTTACTGGTATTTTCCCAACTTGGGATGGATACTACCTCAATTGTCCTCACTTCTGCTGTGCCTAATCTACCAGCATTAAATTCTTCATTTCATTTGTATTTTTCAGTTCTACAATGTCCGTCTGATTATTATTATTTTTTTTTTTGGCAGTACTGGGGATTGAACTCAGGACCTCAGTCCTCTTAGTTTGTTCAGACAGGATCTTGTGCTTTTTTGCCGGCATGGTCTCTGACCTTGATATTCTACCCCTGCTGTCTGCTGGGTATCTGGGATCACAGATGCTCAGCTTGCTTTTGAGATGGGGTCTCAATAACTTTTCCCCAGGCTGGTCTCACACCTTGATCGTCCTGCCTCCATTTCCAAAGTAGCTGGAATTACAGGCATTTACCACCATACCCAGCACAATCCGACTATTTTCATTAATTTTTAGTTCTCTGGTAAATCTCTCCATCTTGTCATCTATCTTCCAGCCATGACTCATCACAGTAATTGTAAAGTGCATATGTAATGCTCCGCGATAGCTGGTTCACATATGACCTATTTTCTCTACTCTTTCTCGGTCATCTGGCCTGTCACATGGCATTTCTGTTTGCTGTTGCACTGGGTCTCACACACATCCAGGGAGGTTTTGGATGGTTATCCTCACTCAGAGAGGATCTGTCTTCTCCTGAAGGTGACAGAGCAGGGGCTACTCCATGTTCCAAATGGGGTCCTGCCTTACCTTCCATGACACCCGGCCTCTTTTTGGGTGGCCCTTAGCCCTGGGGCACCGCCTTCTCAAAGGAGAGCCTGGGAGTGAGCAAGACAGCCCCTCCTTACTGCTCTCACTCCAACGTCCGCCCCCTGCACTGTGAGATGGCCATAAGCTCAGATTAGCTTTTCTGCTTCTCGGCTGCTATTCCAGCTTGGGTTCTTAAAACTCTAGCCCCATGCCACTTACATTCCAGAAAACGGCTGGAGAGGGGAGTGCTTCTTTCTCTGTGATCTTCTTTGCTCTCAGTCTTGGTCCCTTCGATTTCAGCTACCTTAAGTGATCCTGCTCTCGCTCGCTCACTCACTCGCTCGCTCACTCACTGCATCTTTCTGTCCACCTAGTCAGCTCTCGACTGTGAATCTACAAGACGGCAAACCGCAGATCCTGGGCCCCCGGCTTCATGCCTCGTGCAGGCAAGGAGCGAGGAATGGTAGCTCACCC